GTGGTTGTGTAGGATTTGTAACACCTTCCCCAATATTTGTTCATAAGTAATTTCAGGTATAAATTTGCAGGTGATTTAATTATTTTAAAAGCAGACTTTCAGGAACGTTGTGGGGCATTGGCAGACTAACGTGGAAGTTAAAAGTGAACGCAAGCTACGAATGTTCAATTTCAACAACTGCTTTTAGGTTATACGTAAAATGTACTGTAACTGAAAAGTCAGATAATTTGGTGACCAAAACGCGTGTGTCACAGCAGCTTTTTGTTGTGTATTTTACAAATTTTATTTGTCAATTTTGAATTTTACAAATTGAAGGCGTCAAGGTCATCAAAACCACTGATGTATTATAATTAGTTGATCATTGCAATGAATCTCTGGCAATGAATATATAATGATATAAGACCTTTATACAACCAGGTCATCAGTAACAAGATAAAGGAATATCTCAAGGCCGAAAACGAGGCTGTATAGCCAAGTCCTTTTGACAGACGATCCGTCCCGTGCATGATATTACGGTCTTCACCTGTTTCCATCTACAAACTGACGTTAAGTCATTTGATCAATTTCAAAAGTTGTTTCTCTTTGGATTTTTTTATTAATTTGGTTAGGGTCAGGGTTAGGGTTAGGTTAGGGTAGAGCGAAGGCCCTGACATATCACATATTTTATCAGTTCTATCAATACTTTTATGAAACAGACCAAGGGAGCATAGTATGGTATATGAACAACCTCATTTACCTTGTTGTCTGCAAAATATTTTCCACCACGAGACTTCAGAAGTTTCTCAAATATTCCTAGAGCATGTGGAATATGATTCTCAAATAATTCTTTAAATAGTTTTTTCTACAAAATTGATACAAAAGGAAAATAATATACAACTACAATATTTAACTACCGTAAGCTTTATGTTTCGTCCAGTTGCTGCATTTGGCATGCAATTAATATGAGCGCAAATGCTGTAGTATTTAGCTTGCGATCATCTTAAGACGATTTATTGGTCTTATATACCTCAAGACGTACGATTTATTGGATTTATAAGATGAAAACGCTCGTTTCTTCATTAAAAGTCACATGAAAATAAGCAATTTGTCAAAGCTCCTTCACACTCGTGTTCAGTTTTCTTTGTGTTTTCTTCGTGAATTATTTATGCGAATTACCAAGATAGATATACCAATGTGCGCGGCACGGACAATAAGTCAGCTGAAATCTGTCTAAATTTTAATTTTTATATTGATTACCTCAACAAATACAAATCAAATTATATAGAAAACAAAATTCTGTCTTTTTATTTAATTATGTAAAACGATTTACACTTTCCGCTGCCTCGTCCCTCGTCGCTTCAGTTGGGAATAGAGATCAGTGGAAAACAATGGGAGCGCGGTGCTTAATGGGAATGCGATAGAATCTGAAGCGCTGCTCAAATTACGCGACCGCGCGTACGAATGAGGGACTGTGGAAGAGTCAGCACTTTCCGTGCATATACCATCCTCGGTCCCAGGGCCTCACGGCTGACACTGCGTTGCCCATAGATATAGGAGATCTAGATTGTTAACGCATACCTAGCGCAGGCGGGGCCTACATGAGTAATCCAAGATGGCGGTACAAGAGGGCAAAAAGACTATAGATTCTATTACGAAAATCAAGATTTTTGCATTTTTTGCCGTCGCATTGTTTTGAAACTTATTCGGTCAAATTTTATGGTAAAGAGAAACTTACCGCGAAGATTTTGAGCATATTTATGATTGAATTGGATGAAAACTCGCAAAATTATCCAGCGATAAAAGTTCGTGTATAGTACTGATATAGTATATATATGTAACTTGTACAGTTTTGCTTTAATTTTTGCTCACTATTTGCATGGAAAGCAAATTATAACAGACCATAGGTGATAGACCCTTATCCAGTGCTCTCATCAGTTTACTTCTCTAACAAGCAAGGAGGGGGGGGGGGTACATAACAGTTCATTTTTCATAATTATGAGGACAGAGCAGATGATGATGAAAGATGCAAGTATAAAACACCATTCACAAGACTAAATGTTAACATAGCACAGTATTTCTGGCAATAAAACGCTCCAACTGACCAACTGACCATTTCACGCGAACTTTTATCGCTGGATAATTTTGCGAGTTTTCATCCAATTCAATCATATATATGCTCAAAATCTTCGCGGTACGTTTCTCTTTACCATAAAATTTGACCGAATAAGTTTAAAAACAATGCGACGGCAAAAAATGCGAAAATCTTGATTTTCGTAATAGAATCTATAGTCTTTTTGCCCTCTTGTACCGCCATCTTGGATTTATCATGTAGGCCCCGCCTGCGCTAGGTATGCGTTAGCAATCTAGATCTCCTATATCTATGGCGTTGCCGGAGGCCCTGGCGAAAACCAAAACCGGAACTTCAAAAATCTTGTAGTTTGCCGGAAGTAAACGTAATAAAATGCTGACTCTGCATCTTTTTTTGCAAGGAGTGAACTTTGAGAATTTCTCGAAAGAAATAATGTTTTACAAGCAAGATAAACATTAATTTGATCTGGTTATT